ACCTATTTTTTGTATCTATCTATTGTATTTCATCAATTTAGGAACTGTTTTTAACAACAGCTATTTCCCCTGGCTAGAAATTTGAACAACAATTTGAAATTAAAAATGTATTCAATATAGCATTGAAACCAAAATTTCACAATAAACATAATATAACTTCATCACCATATTCATCAACACTTATATACATACATATATATCACCTTTAAAATAAAAATAAAACAAGCTGATCAAATAATCTCAAAACTGAATTGTGACTAATGTTTTCAATGGTATTTAAAAATTTTTGAATGTTTCAGATATATTTTATGGTTACTGGAAAATTTTCACCATTTACTTAAGCCTCGTATAGATTTATGGTGTCAGTTGAGTTTAGTTAATAATGCAGTGAACATTTTTTTTATTAAAATATATATAAAATAGCATATAAAGCAACTTAATAAATTTAAAAAAATGACACCTTTGTTTTGTTAAACCAAGAATTTAATATAATCATGATAATAGAACTTCCATAGTAATCCTGTGATAAACTTAAAAAAGGAATTGTGTTCCAAAGTTACAGTAAAAATTTATTTCAATTAAATTTAATTAATTTTGACAAGGATGTTGCTATTTTGAATGAATGTTATTTAGAATTTAATACTCTCTGACCAGGTGTGATCTTTTTCATGAGTTTGCCCGAAGCAGGAGGTATTACTTTATACTTCACCACTAATCAGAAGAACAATTTTATTAATTTCTTTAATTTTTATCCCTTTTTGATATATATTCTATATAATATCATGAATATTTCCCAAATTATAATAATAGATATATTTTAATCATAAGGTTAAACAATTTCAGTGATTTTGTTACCTCATTAAAAAGATAATTATATAACTATTGTACATTTTTTGTATGTAACCATGAAACCTATGTAGTTTTTATTTAGGAATTTAGGAAAATTAATCTAAACAAAAAAACACATGCCAAACAAGAAGCACCTTAATAAGGTTTAATTACCCTCAGTATAGGTGTGGTTTTTAGGTAAAAGAAAATCTTTTTTTAACAAAACTCTAAAACTTTAAAATTAATATAATTAAATTATTATATAAGATAATTTTATTTAACTATCTCTATTCGATAAATCTGAGAATCATGTAAGAATGTAAAAATCTGTTTTTATAATATATCTTTATTTTATTGTGGCTGTTGTCATGTCAGTTAAAAAGAAATTTATTTTAACAGTTAAAATTTAGAAAAAGTAGAGGTTATTTGGTCAAGTATGATTCAGACTGGTCGAGTATTGTTCAGACCTTTGGTCGAGTATGGTTTAGACTGAAAAAAATAGGTCGAGTACAGGTCGAGAATGGGTTAAGACTGTTTCAGACTGGTCGAGTAATAGTTCAGACTATTTTCAATGGCAAAGATAAGGGTCAAGTACAAATCAGTACAGTCGAGTATGGTTAAGACTGGGGTCGAGTAATGTCGAGTAAAATTCAGACCAATTCAGACTGGTCGAGTAAAAATCAGTACAGTCGAGTACAGATATAGGCCATTTCAGACTTTTACTGGTTTGTAGTGAAATTAGTACATGAACAGAAAAAAATGCACAAAAAGCAAAGGAACAGTGCTTTTATTGCTGTTGCTGTTATGTATCTCAAAGTCGTAGTGAGGCCTTCAACACGGAGCTTAAAAATCTCTCACCTCACTGCAAATTCAAGCACCGGCTTGAGTGGAATTCTTTGCATACAAAATTAGATAGACTTTGTAAGATGGAAAACCACCAAATCGGGGCCGGTCAAGAAAGAACATACTGGAAAGTATGTAAATATTTAAAACAAAATAGTCCCTACGCATAGATGTAAATCTTAAACTATGTAGCTTATATTTAAATAATTAAGGTACATGTATCAGATGAAAGGTGAAGGACTGGTGATCTTTGTAAAACACATACGTTACTGGTAATTTTGAATAATACAAAAATGTATGAATGAATTCTAAAAATGAGGGCAAATATTGCCTGTTTCTCATATATGAAGTGCCTGGTTTGGTGTATCCAAAATTCCGGTAACCAGTGCAGTACGTTCTGATGTATAAATACAGTTATATTGATCCCGCTTCCATAAAATGTTATGAAATGAAAAATGTAACGTGGAAAGGAATGAGAACCAAGAATACGTGGTGTGCGTCTTATTAAAATTTTGGTAAACAAACTGGCTTCAAATTGAGAGAATGATGTGGCACACATAATAGAAGTTATATCGAGAATAAATACACCATAACTTTTAAAATACGCATACGTGTAACTTTCAAACTATGCAGAATATATTTGGTAGTTTAGGTATCAAATAAAAGCTAAAGGACTGGTGATCCTTGTAGAGCATATTTTGATGAAAGTTGAAGGACTGGTGATCCTTGTAAAACACATACGTTACTGATATTTTTTAATAATATAAAAAGGTATAAATGAATTCTAAAATTGAGGTCATATATTGCCTGTATCTCAGATATGTAGTACCTGGTTTGTTGTATCCAAAATTCCGGTAACCAGTACAATCTGGTGTGTAAATAACGATATGTATATCCCGCCTCAATAAATGTTGAATAGAAGTTCTTTCGAGCCAACTTCGCGACGATTTTTTTTCGCTATCATGTCATTTTCTCCATACATTCATATAAGACAAGATTCAAGTCTCACTTGTTCACGAGGATTTTAATTTGGGATATTTTTCTACTCGCGAAAATAAGTTGGTTAATAGAATTAAAACAGTACACTAAACCATAATTTGATCAAACATTTTTTGGGGTATATAATAACACATTTTCCCAATAAATCTGGGTTTGCGTATATATGTTGTGGTAATGAGAATTCCTGTTTGAGTAATAAACCTTTATATGCAATGCCCTTATTGGACAGAAGAAAGTCTTTATATAATTTACTTGATGATTCTTATATATATTCTATTACAATTTGTAAATATTCACTAACACGGGGATTTTCACGGGGTTATAAATCATAAGACATGGTATTGATTATTGTCGGAATGTAAACAAACTCTGTGGAAGCTAAATTACTGTTTATGAAATGCTGAATTATTCAAAACACTAATGTTTCCCATTCCCAATTGCATTTGTACAGTTTTCCCGGAATTTTCGGAATATATTACACTTCAACTTCGTACTCCATTTTGCTTTTAAGCTCTTTTGATTTGAGTGTAACTCATGAGTTTTATCTAGACGAAACGCACGTCTGACGTACCAAATTGTAAGCCTGGTTAACCTTTTTTTTCCCGAGGGTGTCACCTGCACAAAAGTCAACACTTACATTTACTGTTAAAAAATTGCTGAATTATTAAAATTACTGATATTTTGTCTACCGGAATATAGTATTTCAAATATTCTGCTTAATTTTGATTTGATTTGATTTTGGTTCGAGCCTCACTAAACTCGTGTCTTGCTTACCAAATTATACTCCGAATGATATGTCTGATTTATTTGTCGTTATCTAGATTCGGATATGTCAGTGTCACACGAGAAAATCAAAACAAATATTGCGACTTTAAAGACGAGTTTTAATTTTGTTAATTTTCATTTTTGAATGGTGATGATCTTTTGTTCCCCTCTTTCGTTGTATATATTTCCGAACCGATTTTCTCTGTCTGTTACTTTTGTGGCGTTTTATATTGCAATGAATGTAGTCTATGTATAACTAGTTAACTATTACGTCGTGCATTCCGTTACAATACATTACTAAAAATCTTTACTAATATTTATTTTTGGAAGCTTGAATGCATCTGGTTATGTCCTATTATAAACGGGATATCTTATCCTAATTTTTATGGTAATTTTATAAATGGGTACGGTTTATTTGGATACGATAACTAATATATTCTTGGAATAACGTAAACGTATTCTTATAGTTTTTCAACTTTACACTTTAGTAATATTTTGTAATAATAATTTTTATTGATATTATTATTTTGGATAAATAAAAACATAACTAAATATATCTTGATATACAAATATGAAAAAGTATGGTATATTTTGAGGTGACACAACATGACATGCTCATGATTTTCTAAGACTGTTTAATACGGATTTTCAATTAACCCGTTTGATGCGAACTGATTGATACTGTAGTTCGAGTTAGCATGTATTCTTTAAAAATTGTATTTGGCTTTGAAATAACTCTCAGTAAATGTAAAAACTCTTAAATCTGAATTGTGTCCTTTGTCTTATATGTAATTGCGTTCCTATGTGTTGAAGCACGTCATTTTTAACTTGATTGTTACAGTTTGTTCTCATGTTGTGCTATTACACAACTGCTGAAGGTAAATAATAGGATTAGCGCTAACAAAAATGTTTACCCCGCCACAGTCATGACAGTCTGTATGTGCTTGTCCGCATACAATAAATGGTTATCAATCGTTGCTGACTGTTCTATTTTATTTTTTTTCGTCTGTTGCTTTATGACAAATCATCTCATCTGGCTTCTTATAGCTGACTATACGGTATATAATTTGCTCATTTTTGAATGCCGTGAGGAGACCTATCGTTACTTACGTCCACGTTATTTGGACTCGTATTGACATTTCTCTTATTGGTAATCCTACCATTGCTCCTATTTTTTTACATGATAATTCATCAAACACAATTTAATGGTTCTACATCCAATGTATAGAGCGATTGGTGTCCCTTTTAACCCTTTGTATAAAACTTCTAATTATAACGGTCATAACAAAGACTGATGATAAACTTGACGGCTTTTCCATTCTTGGTAGAAATATCTCCTCGTAATCCCTCATAAAAAAGAATAATAAAAAATAATAAAAAAATAAAGTTATATAAGATTTTATTGTTAAACCTAGAAATTTCGTACTTAGAAATATAATGGCAATAAAATAAAACAAGAACATCATAAGCATTTCTTATTCAGATAACTTTAATTATCTTTATGCTAGAACATAAACAGATGAATAAGGTAAAAATTGAAAAAAAACCCGACAATTCTAGTTTAATGAGCAACATAAACTAAAGCAGTATATTTTCATTTACTTAAACAGTGAAAGACACTTTCAGACGGTTAACATAAATTACTTATGACATTGTTATTTTACTTCAAGCACATAGTTTGCACCATATTAACAAATTAAACTTATCCATTGACAAAAACAATTTTGAGCTTTGTTAAGGGTAAATATCAAATGGATTAGGCTGGACTTTACGAACCATTTATTACGTAAAATATCGATCTACAATATGGTATTCAGAAAAGAATAAAAATGGTTGGAAACGTAATTTAAGACACAAAACAAAAAAATATCCTCCTTCATTTGTACATGGCTATGATTTAAAAATCATTTCCAGTTGTTAAAGTAAACGAGGTTCTAATGTCAGGATTTAAACCAACCATTATACTGTAATTCACAAGGCTTGACAGAACTACATATATCAATCGTAAAAATATAAAATTGTTCAATCTTTACGTAAAAACAATGGTCGGATTTCATTATGGTTATGATGATATTTCAACATGATTTATGACTCTTCACTAAGAGCAAAGAAACACAAATAACATCAACTATTGAATCGTAATTTCATCACAAAATATGCATCACATTCGTCATGACATCACAACTAATTCAATGACATTCAAACAATACTAATCGTTTGCTGCTAGATCTTTTCTTTTCAATTCAATTGCTCAACCCTGAAAGAAGAAAAATAAATTCAAAGCAATAACAGTCTCCGGGACAAGTTTGCACTTCCGCTGAGTGCAAAAGTTGTCACCTTAATTTTTGGAGTTAAGTCAAAATGAAGTTGATAACTTGGTTGGTATTGGTTCCCTGATATTTGTCCTAAAATATTTTGGCTCTAGCACCACTGTTGAAAAAGTTATGCCCCTTTTTTCAACAATTTCCTCGGAGGAAAAGTAGTTTTCCTCAAGGGAAATCAAATTTCCCTAAAGGAAAAATATTTTTCCTCAAGGGAAATTGTATTTTCCTCAAGGGAAAAAGATTTCCCTTAGGGAATTTGCTGCATTAATATTTCCTTTGAGGAAATTCTATTTCCTGTGAGGAAATTTGCGGCTTCAAATTTTCCTTTGAGGAAATTCTATTTCCTCTGAGGAAATGTGGGGCTTCAAATTTTCCTGTGAGGAAATTTGCAGCTTCAAATTTTCCTTTGAGGAAAACTTTTTCCTGTGAGGAAATTTTGTCAACTGCAATTTCCTTTGAGGAAATTTTTAACAAACACTTTTCCTTGAGGGAAAATTCAATACCACAAATTTCCTCTAAGGAAAACATTGTTCTCAAAATTTCCTCAAAGGAAATTTCTGTACATCAACTTTCCCTGTAGGAACTGTTTTCCCCTATTTTTACTCATTGTAAATTTCTTCACTATACAAACAGTATGAACATAATGTTTACAAGACTTAATAAATGATACAAATGATATTTAAAACTTTAATAAATTTTTGACTCAAAATTACCATGACATACAAAAACAATACAGTGAGTCTGACTGTTTAGGTCAAGGTATTGTACATACTTTATATGACTTTAACTTTGATTTATAAAATATTTTTTGTAGCACAGTATTCTGTTTTCTTTGTTATTGTTTCAATTGTATACATTAATAAGCAACCAATTTGAATGTCATACCATTTGTGGTGTTCTTAAGAATTCGTTCATATTTGCAAATTAAATAATAAAATAAACACTTTTCTTATTATTTTAATTTTTCTCTGTTTCAGCTGCTGTGTACAGTTATTCAATCCACTACGTAAAAGTTTAATGCATAAATTATTCCATTCACTAAACAATTTCCTTCAAATCTTAGAGAAAACATTTTTGCAATTTGTTCTTCGAAGATCTTCTTCAGTATATTTGATATGAGGGAGCGATGTAAATGAGTAGATAAAGCTAGTGTTCCTTTCAACAACAAAATACTATTTTTTTCTTCATTTCTCCCTTCTTTCGACAAATATATATAATATGTTGTTGCATTTATACAATTGTGTTTTTCTGCATCTATGATAGAACTCCATTTTGTTTATAGCCATTATCGTGTGATTATGATGAAATTTTCTATTTCTTTTTTGCAGGAAAGCACACATTCCATTTCACATTAATCCAATTAGCGCACCATGTAGATAGATATCAACTTTCAGTTTCCTCTTCAGTATTGACCTATTGATCATGAAAACCAAGATGTCTGATCACCTATAAAGACACAAAATAAACAAATAAAATGTTATAAATGGAGAGAGAAACAGCAATAAAAAAGCTTATTTTGTCATGTTTATGAACATTTTAAGAATATTTCCTTTCTTACTTGTGAGTTCTCTTAATTCCGTGCTTTTTGTCTATGGGTTTTTATATTAGGTGATTTTGTGCATTTTATCAATCTTTCGAGTTGAGGCAATTGCAACGGTTATTTTACAGTTTGTTCTTTATATGTTGAGCTGTTAAACCACTGTCCAAAGTTAAGGTAGGGTAGAGTGCTCACAAAACTGATTTTTTTATTACATGTATTAGTTTTTATTGATTTTTAACTAGCTGTCAGTAACTGTGAGTACTAACAGATCTTTGTGTCTTTTCGATAAAGGGAAAGGTATAAATTTTCTGCTTAGTCCAGACTGATTATTTTTTTGCAGGAAATCTACCGGTATGTCATTTGTTGTCTGGTGAAGAGTTGTCTTATTGGCAATCATGTCACATCTTATTTTTATATAACCTTGCCATATTCTGATTGTGCCTGTCCCAAGTTCGGCGCCTGTAGTTTATTCTGACACTAAAATTTAGTGGTTGTTGTTGTTTCATATCTGTCATATTTATTTTTTTTAATTTGTTTTGTTATAAACTAGGCAATTAGTTCTACAGTTGGGATTATTTCAATTTTTCATCTGAGGGCCTTTTATAGCTGACTACTTTGACAATAGGGCATGGATTTTCTCATTATTGAAGGCTGTCACTGGCCTATAATTGCTTTGTTAGAGCCATGATCAATAGTTTTCATATTTAATATACCACATCTTTTTATTTTTATAATAATCATGATAATCATCTTTCAAGGGCAATAACTTTTATAAAAGTGGCCTTCTGAGTCTTATCGAGCATCACTGATGAATGTTTTGTAGACGAAACGCGTGTCTGGCGTAAATACAAAATTTAATCCTGGTATCTATGATGAGTTTACTTACCATTTAGGTTTTGTTGACTTCTGCAAATTTTAAATTGCCTATCATTTCTGCTGTTTATAATTTCTCTGTATCTTCTATAGTTCTTGTCCTACACATAAAAATGACATCTTGCATCAATAATTATTTTGCTGTTTAATGTATATATCAATGCGTGTTTAATAAAAAGCAGTACCATGAGTGCTTGATAAGCTTGTTGCCCTTTTAGCTTGGGTTTATGCTTTAAATGAATTTTAATGATCAACTACATTATAGAAAAACTGTGAGCACTGCGTAACTAAAAAAAACAAAACTACAGGCTCTAAAGAGCCTGTGTCGCTCACCTGACTCTTTTTGGGTTTTTGAAATCATATAAGAAAGATAAAAATCATAACAGATACTTTAATAATGATTGAGGCCATATTTGGTTTAATATTGTCCTACTTCGCTGGCGGCCATCTTGGATGATGGATCAGCTACAGAGTAACAACACTTGGTCAACACCTCATAAGGAACATTCATGCTATGTTTGGTTTCATTCCATTAAGTGGTTCTCTAAAAGAAGACATTTGTATGTATTTCCTATAAAGTCCTATCTTAAACTAAGATCCCCGCTGCCGGCCATCTTGGATGATAGATCGGCAACAAAGTAACAACTCTTGGTCAGCACCTCATAAGGAACATTCATGCCATGTTTAATTCCATTCCATTCAGTGGTTCTCTAGAAGAAGTTCAAAATGTAAAAAGTTAACAAAGGCGACGGACGACGACGGACAACAAGTGATGAGAAAAGCTCACTTGGCCTTTCTAGCCAGGTGAGCTAAAAAAAGGACATGCACACAGAGTGGTATTCATTGAAACAAAACATGAAAATAATCTGGCTCCATTTAGGGATATCGCAAGTGTATATAAGTTTAAGGCCGTGATTTTTGAACAAATACAATTCTAAAACCTTCCAAAGTGTGAAAATGGAAAATTTTAAACAATTTTCCAACAACTAAAATTCCATAACTCTGCATCTTATATAAAAATAAATAGGGGATGATACTCCGGCTTGCATATCATATAAAGTTATAAAGGAAGATAACTGAAGAACGGTAAAATTTATACTACTAAAATTTGAACTTGATCTGATTTTGTGGTAAAAAGTATTGCGTTAAAGTTTAATAAAATTTGGTTGAGGCAAACTTAATTTGGAGGACAAAAATGAAAAATTCATCATTTTTTCCATTTGTAAAGGACATAACTCTAGAACAGTAAAAGTGACACCACCAAAATTCAAACTGTTTTTTGTGGTAATAAGCATTGTGTGCAAATTTCATAACATTTGGTTGAGGCAAACTAAATTAAAGTTCGAGAGCGGGAAACCAAAAATTCAGCAATTTTTCCATTTGTAAAGGGGCATAACTCTAGAACGGTAACACTGACACCACCAAAATTCACACTTGATCTGAGTATTGTGGTAATAAGCTTTTGTAAAGTTTTATAACATTTGGTTGAGGCAAACTAAATTAGAGAACAAAAACCAATGACTTTGGGACAGAGGGACAGACGGTCATGGGTTGACCCACTATGGGTCATAAAAATGAAAAGGGAGTTTATGTCAATATATAAAAATCAATTCAGCAAAGTTTCATAAAAATTGGTGAAAGCATTCTTGAGACTATCAAAAGTCCCAATATACAACAAAAACTTAAATCAGAATTTTTTAAAAATTGAAAGGGAAATTATCATGATTAATGTTAATCATGTTACATGTAATTGGCAATATTAATAAATGCATGCAATAATTTCTGAAATTTACAGTATATAGGCTTTTAACCCCACCATATTTTTGCACCTGTCCCAAGTCAGGAGCCTATAGCATTTGTCAGTTTAGTATGATTTTTAATTTTAGTTTCTTTTATATATTTCAGAGTTTAGTATGACGTCCATTATCACTGAACTAGTATACATTTTAGTTTAGGAGCCAGCTGAAGCACGCCTCAGGTTGTGAGATTTTCTTGCTGCATTGAAGTCACATTGGTGACCTTCGACTGTTATTTGCTCGTTGGGCGGGTTGTTGTCTCTCTGACACATTCCCCATTTCTATTTTCAATTTTATTTTAAATTCTATTATAAATGTTAGGCTTCTTGTTGATTTATTTTACATTTGTCATTTCGAGGCCTTTTATTATATTTACAGCTTTCTATATGCATAGGTGCTTGAGGCCAGGATCCTGTTTTGAGCCCCCCAGTCCCTCCCCCTTATTATCATAAATCTTAGATTTTTCAATATATATCACTTATTTGTACCATATATATATATACTAATATACCATATTTTTCTCTTAATATGCATGTTTACTATCAACTTAGCGAAGCAACATCACAACTGTTTCCAAGTTTGTGAAGTCAGAGGACTATATTCATCTTTCCGACTTTCGGATCATTTGTTGATTTTTCATGAATATGTGCCATTCCAATATGAAATAGCTATATCATGTCAGGTTAGATATACTGTTCCCAGATCATGTATATATTAAAAAAACCTTTAAACTAGGATACTAATTTGGGGAACTAATGATTTGTTGGGTTTTCCCTAGTCCAAATAATTATGACGTCTGGCAAGGCTATTTTAATTTTTGTCTGGGACGCCTAAATAGCCTTGCAAGACGTCATAATTATTTGGACTATGTTTTCCCCACCATCGACATCGTCCTGTGGAAGAAACGAGTTTGGCGCAAAAAAAGATCATGTATGTAGTGACAATTTAGTGTGTGTGCTTACCAATATTTGAATTTTATGAGCCTTCTTTCTGAATATTTTTTTTCATTTTTTGGTACAATACTGACGTCGAGTGCTGTTGTTGTTGTGCTGTTTTTTTTTTACAAAAGCGATCAAGTAATGCGGGGGAAGGAAACCAATGCAGGACGTGACGGCCATACTGCCATGACGTCCATAGGATGAAACGGCCATACCCCGAAAAGATGAAACGGCCATATGACAAAAACGGCCATACTTTGTGAAGACGTATCGTCCATGGTTTTTTTTTTTTTTATATAGATGTTATTTATGAATTATGTTGATACTTATAGATGGTTATTATAACTTTTAGATAAACTTTACTGTTTTTATATTATTTATCATGTTTAATTTTGTTATATCATTTGTTTAATCATTATATATATATCGTAAATGAATGTGTTTAATCTAATAAAATATTAAATATCATATTGTTTTCTAAATGGTTTTTTGATATCTTGCGTATAACAAACAGAACAAAATGAACAAATATGAATGACTATATCCGAATGGGAGACTAATTTCTGTCAAAATTAAAACAATAAGTTCAGTTTTGAAATATAAAACAAGGTATAATCAAGTAATGATTAAGTTTGAAATTTAAGAAGATTGTTGATTGCTTATTATTACTTCTTTGATGAACACAAGTATTAATTATGCTTTTGTCAAGAAATTGTAATGGAAATACAATTCAAGATCACTATAAAAACACAACACCCAAGCTGAGTTCAAGCGGAGTGCAAACATACATTTGGTAGTGAAATTCTTGTAAAAATACAAGCTGTTTGAGCAGTCTTTTTGATGTACCGACCTTGCTTTATAAAAGTAACCAGAAATGTCGGTGGCACCCATTTGGAAAATTGCTGTTCATCATGTCGTACCCTTGTGTGCTATGTGACCAGCAAGTCCGACCAAGACAACATGCTCTCCAATGTGAGGATTGTGATAAATGGCAACACAGGCTTTGCAATACAGGTATTTACAAATTTAATATTAATTTAGTTTTTCCTTTGAATCATATTTCGTACTTTCGGTCATATTTTAGATACATTTTTTTTTTTACTTTAATTTTGGTTAAGACGCTTTCCTGATAAGAATTAAATCTATATTTAAGTGTTATTTGCATTACACATTTGTCCAATAAATGGACCATAGGTATCAATTAATAGATATAAAAAGAAGATGTGGTATGATTGCGGTATGATTCCCAATGAGACAACTCTCCATCAGAGACCAAATGATACAGAAATTAACAACTATAGGTCACCTTACTACGGCCTTAAACATTATTATCAGTGTATTAATATTACTTGACTGTAAAGAAATATATGTCATATTTTAATTTCTTGTTATTTCAGGTATATCAATTACTGATTACCGCCTGATGGTAAATGAAGAAGTCGACATTATTTTCCACTGTGCAGAATGTGTCCGCATACCACAAGATATGGAGGTTGAGGTACATATACGTTATTGTATTATTTCTTTAAATGTTGTGTGTTCGACAGAATTGTTTTAATTTCTTATCGTTCCTTTATTATTTTGAGAAACAATTGTATTCAACCTAAATTTTTCATTTTTTGTGGTTGACTATTATTCCGAATAAGTCCTGTTATGCAAAAGGTCTCAAACCGTTATTTATGATTATGTATGATGACCTATAAAAAAAAGACCGATCATAAATCATATTAATCCAATCATTGGGCGCGTGTCTCTGTTAAATACAAAGTATACACATTTCGGAGGTGTTAATCCTTTAATTAGTTTACGTGATTGCCAATTATCAAACAATGTTACAAATATTAATGTGAATTTATATATTTTGAATTATATTTTGACATATAATATTATATTATATTTGACGGTTTTTTTTATACTTTTTTTGTGCAAAAATACACAATTATATTTTGTTTCACGACTTTTATACATATGTTTTTCGTTTAGGCAGTATTAGAAGCACCACCATCACCAGCACCAGCATCACCCCCACCAGCAACAGCATCACCCCCACCAGCACCAGCTTCTCCACAACCAGCACCACCATCACCCCCACCAGCATCCCCACAACCACTTGACGATACGCTACCAGACCATTCATTTGATATCACACTTGAAGTAGCAGAAGAAAATCCAGTTGTTGAGAGGTATTTGGTTTAATTAATCATATTTTTTATTATAGTCTCTTAATTTTTTATTACTATTTCAAATTAATTTAATGTAATAATTATTAATAAATTATTTTAAAATTAATAATGTTATTTTCAGGCAAAAGAAGTTTTTAATAATTTTAAGTCAAACTGGTGTATATTGTAAATTTTAAATATAAAGGTGTAAAAATATGTTTATATGTATATGTTATATCTTAAAAGTCTCTCATAAATCTTTTTAAGATTGGTGCATACAATGCAATATTTTTAATGTTTTAAATTTATTTAAGTGAATCTCTTTTTATGTTTGTCTGTGGTGAGACTATAATAAAATATTGAATCTGTTAAAGCCATTAAGATAATATCTCTAATTTGTAACTAAGTTTTGTTCATTATTTTCAGTGATATTGAAGATCCAGAGCTTTCAGACTCATTTGTAGAAGACAGACCAGTAACCTTCGAGGTAGTGGAGAACGGTACGATGAAAAGAGCCAAGAAGCTAGTCAGCAGTGACGGGTTTTCGTATACAGTTAAGGTATAATTATAATAGATCTATCATATAAAGAAATGTATTATATATGATGTGACTTATAGACCAAATGGGTCGGTTTATTTTTAAGTTATATATTTGTATTCTGTTAGCTGTTATTACACATGTCACAAATTATTGTATATATATATATATATATATATGTAATTTTTTTGGTTTATAGAAATAAGAATACATGGTATGATTGTCAATGAAACATTTCTCTAACAAAGATCAAATGTACTTCTTTACTTTTATAAACACATGTCACAAAATATTTACTTAAAAGACCAAAATGAGCCGCAACTAATAGGTACATAAATATTTTACTATGCAGTAAGTATCCCGATATACATGTATATACTCTTAGACTCATTTCACTGAAAAATCGTACAAGTGAAAATACTCGTTAGTCATGAACATTTTAGATCGCTTAAAATTTAGATTTTATAACTTACATTACGAAAGATGATAATTTGTCAAATGAGCCCCTGTAACCAGGTGCTGCATTTTCTAGCACGCGTCAAAAAACAGTTAAAAGTGCCGGGATCTGACAGAGCTTTCAAGAGCTATTTCTGTTACTGTGAGTTTATTATATATTTATCACAAAAAACTAATGCTAATTTCTTTTCTTTTAATATGATGTCCCCACCCCTCCTCCAGCTTGTCTGATTAATTTACGATCACTCCGAGTAAAGAAAGTAAGTCACAATTGCTTATATCAGGTATTTAAAATTCTGGTTGATAGTTGTCTCATCACCAATCATACTACATCTCCTTATTTTTTTTTACAATAAAGCTATATTTAGATGCGGTATAGTGATGAATGTGTAAACATGCAGCATGTTTGTAAATTATTGTTAAAATACGGCACAAAAGATGCATAATATATCAAACTCGAGTCAACGCCATGTCAAAAACTAAAAAAAAAAACCCAAAAAAAACCGACCAAATGACAAATAGTCTATAAAAACAAACTTTAGCATACCAAAATATATAATTTGTAAAGACTTGCATGCAACTAGGCCTATACAGTAGCTCTATGTTCTTATAGATCTCGCTAACATTACGATTAAAAGTCAGATTATGTGTAGAAAATTCAACGAGACACGTCCTAATCAGGTAAAATCCAAAATAACAATTTACAAATTCAGATCTACTGCCTGTTGTATATTGCTTACATGATTGTATATTGCCAAACGAATAGATATGTTTGGTACGGTATGGCGGCTTCGAAACGGAGACAAAAACTGAAGACCCAGATAAATGAAAGTGTAGAATTTTGTTGTTGAGATTTTTTTTTTAATAATTACCCCCCTTATAAGTATTCGCAAAACATGAAGTTAATGATCAATGAATATGAAAACACTTTATAAAGTATAAACATTGGTAAACGGACAGCAAGTCATAGGACTATTATAGTTCGAATAAATTAGTTTACAATAACTGTTGAAAGGTTATGAGAGAAAAATCTGGATGAATCTATTTTTATTAGAATGATTTATTTTACAGTAAAGGCTTCATATTTTTAATCAGTTATTTGTAAAAGAAAGGTGACATGTTTAACACCATGGAGCCAGTAAATTAACAAACTACTATGATGGATTTTTTTCTTTACAATCATTGATCATAATTAATATTTAAGAATAACTTTTGTTTACAAAATTAATTCGTTTTAATAAATAATGGTTCAAGAAATTTGTTTTTTGAAAATTAGTCTGTTAGTTTCCAAAGAAAAAAAATATCTTAAAAACTGAACTGTGAGTTTTCAATCGTTACGTTTTGTTATACTTTACGTCATAGTGTAATCTTATAAAAGGGGGGGGGGTGGGGGCGGGGGGGGGGGCGGGGGCGGGGGCGATGGAAGAAATTCAATATTGATCCTTCAAGGGACAAGTGAACGTGGGAGATATTCAATCCCTACTGTAAAATATTGAGTTTTTGGTTGATTAATATCGGGTGTGTCTGACGTACCGAATTATATATGATAGGTACATGTAGGTCTTGTAATTGAGACCGCCCGTGATACGGTCGGAAATTTCGACTGCCAATGAAAAAGGAGGGACAGAAAATTGGCCTTATATAAGGCTACTTACTGTCAACTCGAAGAGTTGTTAAAAGGATTCACGTCCCCATTCGGACGTGGCTGAGCACAGCCGAATGGACGTTCCACTATCATTACTGCTAAGGATTTATTGCCGGTCAGAAGAAGACATGTAACGACGCTATTGCTATAGTTACTCTAGTTCGCTAACGAATTCGCTTCTTGTTTCATTGAATATAAAGGAAAGAGTTATCTTATATATATATATATATATATATATATATTTCTTGAACATTCAACTACTATAAATAAAGTAGTTCATTTTAAAATGTATTCTTTAAAGGTTAAGAAAACAATAAGTTAAAATGGCTGGTACATACATGGCTGCATGGCTAATACCTAAAAGGTATAGTCAATTTCCCGTATGATGTATTTAATATTTATTGATATCCTAAATCCTTGTTAATATATTTACTTCGGTAGAAAAGAAGGTTAATCTTCTCATCTGGACTTTTTTAATCTGCATATCTATTATCTATTTTGGGATTGAAAAAAATATCTTTAAAATATGCTTTTTTGGCCCTATTTCTTCATTTTAATTTGGTTACACGTTCAGCAATAACTGATACAAATATGATATATTACCAATGATAACGCCATATATTTGAAGCTGTTCAAAATTTTGTACATCATAGCAGAGTCATATACATAATCTTACTATCTTACTATAAGTTATCTCAGGTCTAAACCAAAATGTTTACTATGAGTGTTCTAATGAGTTTTGTTTGATAATTTTTTGTTTAATTCAGTTAAAAGTTTGGTTTTTTTTTACACGAGAAGGTCTGCTAAATAGTTTATGATGATCTCTTTTTTTTTCAGCATAACAAACGGATTCTCTTTAATGCACACTAGGTGGACTTTTCTCTGTTCCGATGAAGGCAGTGCACGTCTTTCATTTAAAAGATTAAATCGTAGTTTTGCAACAGACGGCGGCACATCGGGCATTGACTTACCATTTTATAATTTGTAACAATTATGATTAACCATATATTTATGAGTTATAACAAAATTATTTTTTGTACATCTTTATTTAAGATGATCGAGATTTGAGAATAATATGAAAATAATAAAATATATATTACCAAAAAAGTTATCTCAGGTCTAGTTATCTAGTATGAAATATATCCACTGGAAATAAGCCCTTTAAAACACAAATCCCCGTTTACTCATTGCGAAGTTTATTTGCTAGAGTTTTTTTAATCTTTTTTTTTAATGATTTTATTATATTATCTTTTTTGTGAAAATTTTGAGTGGTTGAACATATATGGACACCGACGCTACAAAGACAATTTGTTTAATGTCATCTGTTGCAATATATACTAAGTATTACACGTGGACAGGATGTTCCAAGAAAATTAAGGTATTCAAAATAAGTTATACACACCCCAAGGGTACACGCCACTGTCATATGGAAAATTACTGGGTCACCAGTAAACTGGTAATCAGCCATGCAACTAATTAGTTGACTGACCATGCCACTACAATTTAAAAAGTTTGTCGTTCGATCAAAATGAAATGTTTATTTTAATTTAAAATTGAAGAACTAAAAGGATTTATCATAATTATGAAGGGAAATAATTCAACAAAATCGGATTATTTCCCAAAAGATTATATTTTTTTTAAATTTTTCCGGGGAAAATAGAAAACTGCATATATAAAGGGTCCCATCAAGGATTTTATAGAAATCCTTGGTCTCATGAAATGGATCTCACACAGACATGTAAAACGGACAGAAAGTCACAGGACAAAAAGTCACAGGACATAAAGTCACAAATTTGATAGGACAAAAAGTCACAGGACAAAAAGTCACAAATAAGTTGTTGACAATTGTTTGAATTTATAAGAGAAAGATCTTGAACTATTTTCTTTTTATTACATATATTCATTTTTAAGTTTAGGAAATTGTTCATAAGCCTTGATAAATGAAAATTCATTGAATTTGAATCATGCAAAGGATATATTTCTTGGCACATTGAAGCCATTTAAGTACCAAGCCACTTTGACATTTTGTTTTCATAACAATTATTTGATCATTATTGATATTTATTGAATAAATTTTAATTAAAAAGTTGCTTCATATATTATAGTTCAAGAAAAAACCAAAAACAAATATTTTCTAAATTAGTGTTTTCTTGTTTAAAGAAAAATAATCTCAAAACTGAATTGTGACTTTTTGTCTGTGACTTTTTGTCCTGTGACTTTCTGTCCTGTTATACATTTATTGATTCTATGATTTCTTGAGAAATCAGGAGCGAAATATAACAAATATTTAGTTTTTATATTAAATTAAAATTTAGAATTTACCTTTCCTCGCTATAATTCATTTGACATAACATTGAGGAATTTAAGGGTTTGTCCGTACAACGTGTTTGTCATTAGTATTTCACATGACTTATTGTTTTCGCGCTTCGCCTTGAAGCTCATTATTCAGACTGTTTCAGACAAGATGATGAAAATAACGTGCAAGGCACTTTTTTTTTCGATCATCGTGAAGTGCACTCTCCCCCTCTTCAAGAATTGTATATTTATAAATCCTCGTCCTTTTTAAAATTACCACACTCTTTGTGATTACTGTTATGCTATTATGCTAACAGTAACCCAGGACTTGATTTACATGTAATATCAGGGGCGATTCCAGCCAGGATAAAGGGGGTCCAAATATATGTCTCCATTAAATGCATTGATCGTTCACAAAAAGGGGAGTCAAAACCCCGGATCCCACCCCTTTTCGATCCGCCACTGATTGTGAATATAAATATAATTGTTACTTAAAAGTCATAGATTAGTGCCCCCCTCACTAGTAGTAGTACTAGCTCCGAGCACCTGTTTTGGGATATATACAGCTAATTAACCGTAAATAACTGCGAGATAATGAATAACAAGTTGATAATTGTCTAGTATTCTCTGCTAATTAATGTACCTGCAATTCACCCTGATTCATTTGTGAGACCACCGACACTAATAATATTACCTCAAAGTTAGAGGTTCTCCGTTACTGGGAACTTCATATCGGATCCGATCAATTTATTGGTTCCATTCCCCCTAGTATTAATGATCCATTTGCAGTGACGATGACAATCATAGGTATACAGTAACTCATAATTACTGTTGATTTTGCATGATAACATACAACTCACTTCTCCTTGCTACGGCGTCAGATTATTTGGACTACTTCCATATGACTTTAAAAAAAACAAACAATAATTTATTTCACTGAGATTGGGCTGACGAGACATTTCAGCATGTGAAATCTTAATTGTTTGTCCAAGTACACAGTTATCATCCAATGATTTTCATTTTTTACAAAAAGATTCCCTAGTGTGGACCATGTATTACTTCAAAATTTATTTATTTATATTGTTTATGCATAAAAAGTAAGTACAATGAAGTACCGTCAAGTAGGGGGATGAAATTATTTTATTTTAGTTTGAGAATCACTCATACTTCTTGTATGATGTCTCCTAGCTTAGCCTACAAATTACCAAAAAGAAACACATTTTTATTTCCTCTAGCTTATGTGTATGCCTTTTCATATACATGTAAAAATGTGTTGCTGCCTATAATATATTGACCTTAAATGTTATTCAGTCTTGCATGGCCTAATGGGACCTTGTTCTACTCATGTGGTATGCTATAAGCAGATAAGTCACTTTCTTTCCTTTTGAAATACAAATAACTTTTTAAATATACACGAAGAATTTTTATATTAGCCTCCTCCCCCCCCCCCCCCCCCCCCCTTAATTTGAAATCTCTATTTTCAGACATAGGCTCATATAAATTCGACTTTTAAAGAATTGAAATAAATCTGAGACAGCAAATGAGTATTCAGCTGCTATACATTAAAATACATCATGTACATACATGTGACATACACAATTATCACTGATTATATATAAATAGTTATAAAGACATTTAAAAGGCAATTTTTTGCAAATTATGTAGGCCCAAATCTTGATAGTTAAACGTTAAACTTTAAACGGCAAAAAATTAACACCCAAAGTTCAAACATGAGAATGAACTTCTAGTCTTTAATGTATATATGCTATTGCCATGAAACTAGGTAAACTGTCTTATAATTCCCTAATCTTAGTTCATGCCAAGTTTGATTAAAATTAGTATTTCTACTCTATTAGGTCTCTAGTGTGGATAGTGTATAACTTGCAAATTATTTTCATACTCCTTCCAAATTTATTGCTGTAAATATTACGGATGAAATTACATTGGAAAAAATGTGGCAATTTTTTTTAGGTTAAGGATGTTCGCTCCTCTTGATTTTGAATTTTTACCAGATATTGGGAATCCTCTGGTTTTATCCATGCAGTGCCATTAAAGAATTTTGGCCGCAAACCCCTACTTTTCTTTTCATATTTTTATTACGTAGTTTAAAAAGCCATATTTGAAAATCTTATAAAATTCTTGTTATTTTTCCATAGCTTTTGAAAGAAAAAGGTGCCAGTGTTAAGTGTATGCAAAATCTAGAGAGAATCACTTCCCGTCAAATTTTTAATGGCTTATATCTTAAAAACAAGCACACGGACCCTTCATTTTTTCTGTTTTTTTAGTTCCTTTATTCATATACTTTCAATTTATAACCGTCTTTTAAAAAGCTTGTTATTTTGAAACAGAGTAGCGAACATCCTTAAGTAGTGATGATTTAATATAGTTTGAAAAGGTCAAATATTAGTATGTCTGAAGTTGTCAAACTAAATTATAGACCCTTTAAACATAAAATTGTCCATATTTTGAGTTATAGCTAATAGATTTTTCTATTATGTTAATATGTCCTGTCCCAAAAGTAGTACACTACACTGTAAAAATCTTTTTTGGATAGAGCCAGCGCAATTTTTTAAATTGGCCTTTTTAGCTCATCGTTCCGAAGGAACAGTGAGATTTTGCCATCACTTGGCGTCCGTCGTCGTCTGTCGTTGTCTGTTGTCAACCATTGGCGTCCGTCGGGTGTAAACTATTTCATACATATTCTCCTCTACTGAACCAATTCCTACCAAACTTAAGCTGAATGATCTTTAGGGTATCTACAATAAAGTTTGTGTTTTGTTTTTTGTTTCATCAAAAAACATGGTTGTCATGGCTAAATAAGAACATAGGGGTAAATGCAGTTTTTGGCTTTTTTAGAGCAAATCTGACACAGAGTAAATTGTTCATTAGGTGTTCAAAGTTCTATCAGCCCTGAAATTTTCCGATGAATCTAATAACCCATTGTCATGATTGTTGGGTTGCTGTCACTAAATTGGTAATTTCCAGGAAAATTTGCAGTTTTTGGTTATTATCTTGAATATTATTAATGATAACGATAAACTGTAAACAGCAAAAATGTTCAGCAAAGTAAGATCTACAAATAAGTTTCTATAACCAAAATTGTCAATGGACACCTTAAGCAGTAGTTGCACTTTAACGACAATTTTACACAATTTGTTTATCATGTTTTCTAACTTTAAAAAATCTTCTCCTCTGAAACTACTGAACCAATTCCAACCAAACTTAGACTGAATGATCCTTAGGGTATTTAGAATAAAGCTTGTGTTTTATTTTCTGTTTCATCAATAAACATGGCTGCCATGTCTAAAAATAGAACATAGGGGTACAATGCAGTTTTTGGCTTAAATCTCAAACACTAAAGCATTTAGAGCAAATCTTATATATATATGTGAGGTAAAATTGTTCATTATGTCAAGTTCTATCAGCCATTAAATTTTCAGATGAATCTAAAAATCCATTGTTGGGTTGCTACCACTAGATTGGTAATTAAGTCTCCCAAACGAAGTTTGGGAAGACTTATTGTTTTTGCTCAGTTCTTCTTCTTCTTCCGCCGCTTTTAAATTTGAACTTGTCCGCACCCGTTCTCCAAAACCGCTTGTCGGATTAACTTAGGGTTTCACAATATGTTAGACTAACATGTCTTGTGGTGCAATCAGGGTTTTGTTTGTGCAATAGGGTTTATAAAGGGGTACTTTGAGGGGCAAAAAGAAAAGAGGGTTTTACTATAGAACCCTATGGGATTTTATTTTTAAAAATTTTCAAATGATTATAAATTGAAAACTGTTTGTGATAGACACAATCTTTTTAATTGAAAATGTTCTAAATGAATAAGCCCATTAAATGAAATACAGGGTTAGTCCCAAGGGGTCACCCCCACCCCCTGCCATTTAAGAAAGTTCTAATACCTTGTAAATGGTCAAGATCCCCACCCCTAAACCATATATATTTTCGTTTGTCATGCTAAGATGGTTTGAATGATATACAGGGTTAGTCCCCAGGGGTCATCCCGACCCCCTGCCATTTGAGAAAGTTCTAATATCTTGTAAATGGTTGAGATCCCCACCCTTAAACCATATATATTCTGGTTTGTCATGATAAAGCACATCAAATGAAATACAGGGTTAGTCCCCAGGGGTCACCCCCACCACCTGCCATTTAAAAAAGTTCTAATATCTTGTAAGTGGTCAAGATCCCCACCCCTAAACCATATATATTTTCGTTTGTCATGCTAAGATGGTTTGAATGATATACAGGGTTAGTCCCCAGGGGTCATCCCGACCCCCTGCCATTTGAGAAAGTTCTAATATCTTGTAAATGGTCGAGATCCCCACCCCTAAACCATATATATTCTGGTTTGTCATGATAAAGCACATCAAATGAAATACAGGGTTAGTCCCCAGGGGTCACCCCCACCCCCTGCCATTTAAAAAAGTTCTAATATCTTGTAAGTGGTCAAGCTCCCCACCCCTAAACCATATATATTTTTGCTGGTCATGCTAAGATGGTTTGAATGATATACAGGGTTAGTCCCCAGGGGTCATCCCGACCCCCTGCCATTTGAGAAAGTTCTAATACCTTGTAAATGGTAGAGATCCCCACCCCTAAACCATATATATTTTGGTTTGTCATGCTAAGATGGTTTGAATGATATACAGGGTTAGTCCCCAGGGGTCATCCTGACCCCCTGCCATTTGAGAAAGTTTTTATATTTTTAAGGAAACTTTGCAATTTTGCTGTCAAAATATTGGTATGTCGTTGGCATCGTCGTCGTCGTCCAAAGACACATTGGTTTTCGCACTCTAACTTTAGTTTAAGTGAATGGATCTCTATGAAATTTAATCTTAAGGTTCAATACCACAAAAGGAAGGTTGGGATTGATTTTGGGGGTTATGGTATCAACCGTTAACAGTGATATTGTTTGCCTCAGATTACAGCCGAAATTCGGCCTTTTCCCCTATAGAAAATTCCCAATTACTAAAAAAAATGGCTTAAAATTCCTCCCAAAAAAGTTTTACATTTTCCCCAAACAGTGATGGCATTGGTAGTAATGTTTGGAAATATCGTACTCATGTTATTATTTTGATATTAGAAAGCACTTTTGAGATCCGGTTTTCTGATCAGAATCATCATGGTGTTTGTAACACATGTGGTTTTCAATGCATTAGGTACCATCATTGCTTCTGTTTCTTTCCCCTCTCCGAAAAGTACCTTTCAGGTTGAAAATGTCTGACAACCAAAATATACATGAAAACAACAGTGCAAAAAAGACAGCAAAGGTCAGCAAAAAATCGGAGATGTGCTTAGAATAAAATTTCCAAATTTCCCAATTTCCATAAAAAATATGCATTTTTCCCAATAAAAAACGGTAGAGGTAGTTTTGAAAAAAGACAACAATATCACTGGTTAAGGAATGAGGGGCCAAAAAAGGGCCAAAAATAAGCAGTTTTGTAACTTCCAGACATAACTTGTGTGTTAGTGTATGGATCTCTCCGACATTGTACCACAAGGTTCCATATCACAAAGGGAATGCTTGGATTTATTTTGGGGGTAATTGCCTCAAAATTTTAGGAATTAGGGGCCAAAAAAGGGGCAAAAAACAAGCATTTTTCTAGTTTCATGACAATAACTTGTGTGAAAGTGTATGGATCTTTCTGAAATTGTACTAAAGGGTTCAATATAACAAAGGGAAAGCTGGAATTGATTTTGGCTGTAATTGCCCAAAATGTGTAGGAATAAGGGGCCAAAAAGGGGACAAAAATAAGCTTTTTTCTAGTTTCCAGACAATAACTTGTGTTCAAATGTATGGATCTCTCTGAAATTGTACTGCAAGGTACCAATCCACAAAGGGAAGGCTGGGATTGATTTTGGGGGTAATTGCCTCAAAATTTTAGGAATTAGGGGCAAAAAAGGGGCAAAAAACAAGCATTTTTCTAGTTTTAGGACAATAACTTGTGTGTAGGTGTATGGATCTTTATGAAATTGTACTACAAGGTTCCATATCACAAAGGGAAAGCTGGGATTGAGTTTGGGGGTACTTGCCTTAAATGTTTAGGAATTTGGGGCCAAAACGGGGCCAAAAAACAAGCATTTTTCTAGTTTCCAGACAATAACTTGTGTTCAAGTGTATGGATTTCTCTGAAATTTTACTGCAAGGTACCATACCACATAGGGAAGGCTGGGATTGAGTTTGGGGGTGATGAATCATAAGGGGGTTCAACAAATTGGGGGGGATTTTTTTTCCTTTTTTTTCTTTTGTTTTCTTTAAAATTTTCCATTTAAAATTGGTTATTTCTGATTTATATATAAAAGCAAATAATAATGATATGGTTTGAATAGGTAAATTAGAAATTTTTAAGTTCTTAGACCACATTCATTTTGTGAGCCTCTTGTTTTAATTGTTTCTGTAAGTAATATATTAATTTGAAATTTTGACGACAGACACATACAGATTATACCGTTAACAATATTTCAGAGTTTAATGTTGTCAAGCACACAAATCATAGAAGAATAGTTAATCACGTCATTGTTGTCCATTGAAAAATTAGTATGAACACGATGAAAAAGTATGGGAATGTTTGTTTGTTAAACTATTGACCATGGTTATGTCTTTGAAACTGTTGACTGGCAAATAGTTTGTGAAATGAAATAGCACAAATATTTCATTCCTTTTTTATATCATGGTATATAGAAAAACACATACTGATGTACAATAATAGTTATAGTCATTAAATTATAGTTTTTACCTTTTTTAAGTTTAGGGCAAGAAATATAGAAGATAAAGAAAAATATAAACAATTACAACTGTACAGTAGAAATGATTGGCAAAACAAGATTTATTAACAGAAGACAACAAGGCCTAAATGGTAAGACCACTTCTATATAATAAAAGTGATTGCCCTTGAATGATGGCTATTATAAAAATAAGAAGATGTGGTATGGTAAATGAGTTATCTATCCACCAGAGTTCAATGAAGTGGATGCAAGCAATTAAAGACCAATGACGGCCTTCGATAATGAGAAAACCCATACCTTATAAGTCAGCCAATAAAGATCCCAACATGAAAAAATTAAACAATCCAAATTAGTTCAAAGCCAATAACAATTAATAAAAAAATCATGTCTGTGAGCACTCCACCTAACCATAATCTAGGACAGCGGTTCAAATAGCACAACATATGAACAAACTGTAAAAACTGTTGCAAGTGGCTCAACTCATTATCACTACAAGGCACTAAAATGACTGATATTAGGTCGTGGACACAAAGCACTGAAATAACAGAACTCATAATCATGATTAGTAAGAATATCAAATTTAAGTTTCTCAAAATGTTCATATTAAACATGATAAAATAAGCTTACTTCATATTGCTGTTTTTTTTTCTCAATTTATATTTTGTGTATTTATAGGTGAGACTTCTTGGTTTTCATGATCATCAACAGATCAATACAGAAGAGGAAACTTAAGGTTAATGCTTTTCTACATTGTGTGCTAATTGGATTAATGTGAAATGAAATGTGTGCTTACCTGGAAAAAGAAAATAGGAAATTTCTACAAAATGGTTGTAAACAAAATGGAGTACAATCATAGATGCACAAGAACACAATTGTGTAATTGCAACAACCTACATATTCACTGAAGGATTATGGAGAAATGTAGAAAAAATAGTATTTTGTTGTCGAAATAAACACCTGCTTTATCCATTCATGTACATTATCTCTGTCACATAAAATATACACAGGGGCGTAGCTAGGCCAATATGATGTGTACTCAATGCCGAAGGAGGAAGTCAAACGGCAGGGGTTTGGGGCAAGTTCTGGGTAAAAGGTGCAAAATCCTGCACCGGCATTCTCACAATTTCCTGGGAATTAAAATGACCTCGCCGAAATCTTATTTTCATGAGTAACAAGTCAACTTTTGAAAAAAAAATTGAAAAAAAAACAAAATATTAATTAGAGAAAAACAAACAAGTACTGTTGGCTTATGAATTTGGATTTTCTAATGTGTAGTGGGTTGAGCTTAATTAAATTAAATTAAAAGAATATTCGTTGCTAGTTAGTTTAGGTTAAAAGGGGTGGTAAAGGGTGGTACTTGCACGGAAAAAACTTTAAATACAAAGAAGGAATAACAATTTCACGGTGAACGTGAAATAATTTCGTCCATGAACGTTGATAAAAAAGTACTATAATGAACGTATATCATAGGTTGGAAACCTCTAACTGGCAAGTATATAATATATACGTTTTAAGTCCCGACATATGAATCAAATCTATAAGGAAAATCATCAAATTATTTCAGATTTCTTTTTATTAACTCCCTAAACGATAGTCTTTTAATTTTACCAAGCATGGAATACAAGCACTTTAAATCTCGAAGCATGGAAAATAAGCACTTTTAATCTCGAAGCACGTATAATTAAGTTGGGGAAACACTTTGAACGAGACACCCGTCTTGCACAACCGAACGTAAAAAATAAAAAAAAAAGTCAAAACACGATGATCGTCAATTTAAATAAAAATAAAAAACAAAAAACAAAAAAAAAACGGCAAGCACTATGCACGAAATTTACCCTTTATCAACCCCGTTAAACTTAAGTCAGACTGGACTGTTTAAAAAAATCTGTTATGACGACGTATGTAATTAAGACTATACATACCTCACATGAAAATCATGGGAATGAACCGTTGTCCATGGTCTCTTTAGAACGACATATTTTATTTCGTCAGTTATTTTGAAATCTTCAGAAAAGATGTCAGGACTTGGTAAGGAGGCATAGAATTGTTTTCTGACACCTCGAGGACCATTTATATTGTTTGCATCAGCAACATAATCATGATGCTGGTTCCGTCAATAAAACGTAATTTCAGGAACGGAATATAGCTACAAAGTGATTATTAACATGTTTGTAAGATAGTTTTTAATTTAATTTATTACTTTAGTTTTATTCTTACTAGATTTACCATAATTTTATTTTTGTAAAATTTTCGATGTGTACGCAACTGCATTTTTGCGTACGGGTTGCTACGCGCCTGATACAGAGGAAGACATGGAAGATGTTTGAAGAACAAATTGCAAAAATGTATTCTCTACCAATTGAAGGAAGATGTCCGGTGGATGGAATTATTTATGCACTGAACTGTTATGTAGGGGATTGAATAATTGTACGCAGCAGTTTAAACAGAAGAAAAGTTAAATTAACATGAAAAGTGGTTATTTTATTTAATCTGCAAATATGAGCACAATATTAATAACATCACAAATAGTATGATATTCATAGCGTTTTGCTTATTATTGTATTGTCTCAAACAGCTAGCCTATTGTTTTTGTATGTCATGTTACTCATCAGTGAACATTTTATTAAAGTTTTAATTATCTTTTGTATCAATTATTCAGTATCAGGAAAAATTATATTCATACTGTTTTTACTGTTATGAAATTTTCATAGAGGAAAATTGAATAACAAAAATTTCCATAGAGGAAATTTGGAGAACAATGTTTTCCTTAGAGGAAATTTGTGGTCTTGAATTTTCCCTCAAGGAAAAGTGTTTGTCAAAAATTTCCTCACAGGAAAAAGTATTTCCTCGAAGGAAAATTTGAAGCCTCAAATTTCCTCACAGGAAAAAGTATTTCCTGAAAGGAAAATTTGAAGCCTCAAATTTCCTCACAGGAAATAGAATTTCCTCAAAGGAAAATTTGAAGCCACAAATTTCCTCACAGGAAATAGAATTTCCTCAAAGGAAATATTAATGCAGCAAATTCCCTAAGGGAAATCTTTTTCCCTTGAGGAAAAATATTTTTCCTTTAGGGAAATTTGAGTTCCCTTGAGGAAAACTACTTTTCCTCCGAGGAAATTGTTGAAAAAAGGGGCATAACTTTTTCAACAGTGGTGCTAGAGCCAAAATATTTTAGGACAAATATCAGGGAACCAATACCAACCAAGTTATCAACTTCATTTTGACTTAACTCCAAAAATTAAGGTGACAACTTTTGCACTCAGCGGAAGTGCAAACTTGTCCCGGAGACTGTTCAATGTTGGTATTTAAAAGCATAGCTAACGAAGACACACAACAGTAAACAGCTTATTCACACCATTAACAACTAAGATATGAGTTCAGTTTTAGTAATCTTAAAATTTACAACAAACAGACGCACATTGGCTAATACATCAAAGGCGAACGATACCAAAGTGACATTCAAACTAATAAGTCGAAAATGAACTGACAACGACATGGCAAAAATATGAAAAAGATCAAAAGACAAACAACAGTACACAAATCACAACACCGACACCTAAAGATTGAGCAACACGAACCCCACCAAAATTCGGGGGTTATCTCAGGTACTACGGAAGGGTAAGCAGATCCTCTTTATAAGTTATTAAAAAAATATCTTTTGTATTTTTTATTATCAAACATTGATTGAGCATCGAGCACAGTTCTTAAGAGATCAACGTGTCTTTATCTAATGTCTGCTTGAAATTGTTTACCTACGTATACTTTTTACACACATTCTATAAAGCTTTGCATGTTTCATGCTAAATGTTTTATTGACTACAAAATAAATTAAAACTTACTTTTTTCACATATGAATCTGTATTTTTTGCTACATTCAGCATCCCCCCATTTGAAGTCAAATTTCCTCGCGATGCGAATGCAATCTTCACCATCATTATAGTTATTTGGTTCTCTATCATCCCAATCAGTAAATAAAAATTTGGTCCGACTACTGGCCCAAATCCAAGTACCTTCACTTAGTTTGTCATCCCCACCTAGCCAGTAAGCTTCAATAATTATTCAAAGTTAAACATTTGTTAAATGCATACACTAGTAGCAAGATTTAAGTCTGAAACGGTCATTTTGGTCTGATCAAGTCTTAATCGCCTTGATTTACTGCTAGGGAAAAACGTTAAGACCGGTTTAGACTTTCAGACTCTGTTCCGATATATCGTGTTCAGTCAGATCAGTCGGGTCAAGATAAACAAGACAGATTCTTCTAGCGTTCAAATAAGACTTGATTAGATCACGTTCAGATAAAATAAGACCAAAGGTAAAAAATCTGTTTAGTTGCTGTAAGATCGTGTTCAGTCGTGTTAAGATTTTAAATATTTTAAATAAAACGAGCGACACTTTATCTGTGTTTATCAGGGGTTACTCCCCTTTATGAATAAAATCGGCATAGCTAGGAGGATATTCTTTTGTGGTCTTTTAATGTAATACTGTATATCTATTTCATTAAATAACGTATGCAAACGTACAATTCATTTTTTCCCGATAGAATTTTTAACATTTAATTGGTTATATAAAAAAAGATTAATTGTCTTAACCGGGAAATGTGTTAGTCATTAAAATTTTGCAGTCGTGCTTTCTGACATAAAGTAGTCCTGTATTTATTCATTCCGCCCGTAAAGATATAATGATAAGTAATATATCCCAAAGATGTTCTGAAATTTTCTTAAACATTTTTTGTTTCTAATGTAAAATAATAGTTCTGATCCATATAAAATTTGTCAAGAAAAATATATTCTAAGTATCTAATTTACTTTAAATTTTTAAATTTTATACAGATGACAGTTGCTTGGTGAAAGTTATTTACATTTCAATAAACGGATTATCTAAGCAGTCAACCGAAACGGGTTGTCATAAACTATCTAAATAATTACCCATGCAACGCTTATGATGTTTTATCTATGGACGTAAAATGAATAAAGTTCCATGTTTTATCTTATATAAGGATTTACCGGGTAAAATTATTACATTGACAAATAAAACATTATTTTTTCAAAAAAAAATGCAACAAGAATAAAGAATATTTTAAGAATTTAGTTGACAGTTTATATTTACCATTAGGTACCTATAAAGACCGATTTCGGTACCTCTCTTGATTTTTTTTTATCATCAAGTTTTTTTTAGCAAGAACTAATACAAGAATAAATCATATAGAAAAATATCAAACAACGATTGATAAAATCTTGTGTACGGTTTATATTTCTGTTTCGTATCAGATTTTTTTTATAACACCAGCGTTACTTCTCATTTAAAAAACAGTGAGATGCTTACTTGCTTTTTCGAAATTGACCAAAAAGCTATAGAATAACGTAGCGAAATGACTGTACTTATAGATTATACCTTTGTTTTTCCATTTTGAATTGTTTTACACTAGTCATTTTGGGGACCCTTATAGCTTGCTGTTCGGTGTGAGCCAAAGCTCCGTGTTGAGGCCGTATTTTTAATCTATAATTGTTTTATACTTTGTAACTTGGATGGAGATGATTATTTGGCACACATACCACATCTTCTTATTTATATTAACCGGGAGCAGTTTATAATATTTTCATTTCGATAAAAAGAAATATGCAATTCAGTAAATCAAATCGATTTGTACCATATTGTTACATTCAAAAGTTTTTAACTGAAGTAAATGATTGATAGAAATACATTATTTGTATTGCATCGCTCCTAAAATAATGTCCAGTGTCAAATATTACACATCGATGATCACTTAGATGTTCAACTGATTCAACCAAAAATTAAACTTAGGACTAGGATCAAATGCAATTCATTACGTTACAATTGTATCCAATATTAATATTGCTAATAACATTCAGTCGAGGAAAAGACACATGTGACATTGATATGCATTGGTTTGTTCTAGCCTGATACGGCGAGCGCGTGTCGACAAAAAAGGTCATGTTAACAAGAGAACAATTGTTGTGAATCAGAGCCAAATTGACCTTTGTTCCAACTTTACTCATAAATAATGCGTGCTTGTGGACAAAAGGTCACAGACGAAAGGTCACAATTCAGTTCCTGAGACTATTTTCTTTGAAAAAGAGAAAATACTTATTTAAAAAAATATATTTTGTATGTATCTTGAACTTTTGTATATATAAACCAACTCTGTAAACAAATGTATTAAATGAACAAATAATTGTTTAGTAAACAAACTATCAAAGTGGATTGGTACCTAAACAGCTTCATGGTGCTAAGAAATATTATATCATTTGCATGATTAAAATTTAATAAATCTGCATTTACCAAGGCTAATGAACAATTTCATAAACTGTAAAAAGAATATATGTAATACAAAGTAATTTTTCAAGATATTTCTCTTACATACTTAAACAATTGTCACTTCCTGTCCTGTGACTTTTTGTCCTGTGACTTTTCAGTGTTCGCTTACTGTTAAGAATAGGACCTCCCTTACCCAGGACCTCCCTTACTAATGGAGAGAAAGCTGTCGGGACTACCAATCCTAAGTGTTAGAGAGAATAAAAAGTACATCAGTCAGTCTCAATTTTATATGTTTTGCGTAAAACAAAACGGTTTTAAATGTTGAATTTAAGGAATGCTCGGATTTAAAAAAATAAATCTTTTTCGTTTGCTTTTCGTTGAAATCATCCTGAATATTATGTAATATTGTACGCTGAACATTCAACGATCATGGCCAAGCATGTGTTCTTCAAAATGCAATCTGTAGAAGAAAAAACACGGTTTTAAATCATGTACATTGGAAATCAAGAATCGTGTGTCGTGTTCGACCTATAATCCTTTATTAAATAGTCGAAATTGACTATTAATATATAGTTTTGTTTTGCACCTACGTAACTCTATGTATGCATGTTTTTGCCACTTTGCTTGGAAAAATTATCATATATCTTAATTCTCTTTCAATAACATTTCCTTATTCAATTTGCTACTCGTCTACCAAAAAAAAAAAAATAGATATTGTTTCATTTTTGCCATTTTGGTTATAATAAGTTCTTGGTAGATGTATGTCCTTTATGATCTCTCAGGTAAATATCAAAAATGAGTCCTGAGTTTTGACGGTTGTGAATTAAGGATTAGTTACTTTATGGAACACTCATTTCCTTGGATGGTAGTACAAACTTGTATTTTATCCTTTAAAGTTAGTATGCCTGTTTAATAATTTACAGTTTAAAGGAGAATTCTTCGTCTTTTGCAAATAGATGAAGAATAAAATGAAAATTTGCTTTCGATTGCATTCAGGCAGAGAGAAATATGTTTTGTTATATTTCAGACGATTTTTAGTACGGATATTAAACTATAATTCTTAATCTCTTCCAATTTACAAATATAATTTGGTATTGTTTTTTCTGCAAATGGTAGATGAAACTTGTATGTTCTAACTTTTTCAGAGGTCTGTGAAATTTTGAAAATATGACGTTCCCGGAAATCACAAGTCGCTATATAGAATGCTTGTAAAAATCAGAAACTTGCAGTACGCTCATATTTAATACTTTTCTGTTAAAAAAGAAAGTGTAAAATTAAGAAGGCGAAAACGGGAAAAGGGGAGGGTTGTTACACGAACACTTTCTTCGCAATTTAATTCTAAACGAATAGTGATTATCTAACTTTTTGTTCAAATATCGAATACACAATCAAATCTCTAACTTATCCACGCTTGCAATAACCTTTTTATTGACAGGTTTCTGCTGACATTTGATTGGACAACAGTTTAATGTAGGCGTGACAATCTATCACATTTATCCAATCAGCTGTCTTGTTAAACAAACCTGTGTGCGATGACCCACTGTCCACATAGTTTAGTTTAGAGAGTTTAGTTGTTTTTTTTATAATGAATTGATCATCAAAAGGACGTTGTTGCTATTGTTGGCCAGGGACTTTCTATACTAATGAAAAAGTCCATGTGTGTGCTTGTCAGATAGAAATAGACAACGCTTATATTTAAGAATAAAAAAAGTGATGAAAAAGAAATATTACTATGCATTGGATGGATATTTAGACTAATTCACTAGCTGTGTTATACAGACGGAGAAATAACGCCACGTGTAGCCAGGATAAAAAAAAATGATGATTTTAATTATGCTAAAAATGATATATTATCCAATCAAAGGGGAAGCGATATGTCGGCTCCTGAATCCGCCACTGACCAAGCAAATTACGACATAATTAAACAATTAACAACCTTGTAAAAAAAATAATAGAAAAGCGTCTTTTTTATCCCTTATATTTTATGATATTTTGTGGACAATATAAATCTTAAATCAGTGTTTCAAAGTCATATCAGATAAAAAAAATAATTGCAATTTTTGCCACAAAAAAAACGTATTTTAGAATCACGAAATAATTGAAATCGAATTTGGATTAGTTTTGTGCTCAATGGAATTTATTAAGACTTTAAAATATCTGTTCCTTTATATTCGCTATTTTGAGATCGAATTTAATGAGGTTCATATATAAGTATGTGCCAAAACAGAAAAAATACAGTTGCAAATCAACGGGTACGTCTAAACACTGCCCAGGACCTCCTGAGTGCACTCAGGACATACAAAGTGCACCCAGGACTCTTTTAAAGTCATCGTATATGCACACAGGAAAAATGTTTACATTCTTTTCACGTTGTCTATTTTAGTGGAAACTTTTGGAATATTTTGAAAACGAACTTAAATAGATATTCAATATTTTTATAAAATAATGAGGGCACGTGTCACTGATTCACAACTACTCAGCCGTGAATAATCCAATCAACAAAATTGATTGGATTATCCTTATTGCTTATGAATATTCAGATTCAATATTTTATTAATCTATCTTATGAATATTATGTTATTAAAACAGTGTTTTTTATAAAAATTTAATAATGCGAAATTTTAAAGTTTTTTCGAAATTGATTTATGTAATTAAATACTTTGTGTATTGACTTTTACGATAATGGAGAAAAAAACCTCAAAAGTCCCATTTAATGTATTTTTATACAGTTTATGTGTAATGAGTCAGCTAAATTTATTTTGTTATTATA